AAGTGTACCATGGGCTAATCAAAGAGATAACATAAATACAATATATATAGTGTATATGCTTTTGGTGAAATGATATATGAGGGATATGATATACAGAAAGGATAAGTACAAGATTATGTGATAAATAATTCGATGATAATGATAGAGATAATGATAATAATATATATGATAATGCTAAGAAAGTGGATGATGATATATGTACATGAGTGTCTTTGTTATATAAAAAGGTATATGATTTTGTATGATAAATTAATATTAAATGTTCCTGTGCTTTGTTATATGGGATGTTTTTATGATTTCTATTATATGTTTTATTTGCCTCACTAAGTCATCGACTTAGCGTGTGATTGTTTCACACGTAGGTTCGAGAAGAATATAGAGAGCAATGTGGAGCAAGACAGGTCAGTTCTCCTTACCAAATGTCAGATCAAAAAATATATGTACTGGTTATAGAGTGTAGTTGGCATGTAGTCTAAGGATATAAATTGTATGAACTCTGATATATTTTGTAAACGTTTTGAATAAGTTAAATGTTATCAAAGTTTTTAAATTACTCACTATTTTATACAAGTAAATGTTTTGAAAAGTCAATGTGACACCTCGGACTCGAATCCAGGTCGGGTACGGGTTGGGGGTGTTACACATTCCCTCTTAAACAACCTACCCCTTAACCAAATTCTAATTGACTCCCTGAGGCAAACAACAATATCAACAGTCAAGCACTCCATATTCTGAAAAATTCTACGATTTCACTCTCTCAAATCAAAGAAATGAACCCATTCCAAGCCAATTTCAGCACAAAGGATAATAGAGCTTCCCTTTGAACCTCCCAACTCAAGCAAGTTCTAAATCCCCACTTATAACATCTCTAGCCCGGTGGCACAAACGAAGAATCGTTTCCCAAACCACCCTAGAAAAATTGCATTGGAAGAATAGGTGGTAACAGGACTCCAATTCCTTCATGCAAAGAACACAAAATCCATCCACATGTAAGACAAACTCAATGAGCCTACACTATTAATTATCATGCAAAATTATTAGTTGTCATACAACTAATAATAGTTGTATAATGCATAATAATGGTTCATAATGCATTGTAAGTTGGCAATAATAATGGTTCATAGTTGGCACTAATAATGGTTGAAAAGTGACATGGCAAAATCTCACATTTACTCATTGTAATTTAGGGTATTTTCAAGATTAGTCCTTAAAGCTTCTACTATAAATACCCTAGCTTATTTAGCTTCAAAACCATCCCAAAGCATTATAGCTTTCTTCCAATACTATAGAGAATTTAGAGAGTTTCTTGAGAGTTGTTTTCTCCTTTTTATCAAGAGATAATTATCATTATTTTCTCCTGGGTAGATTAAGAGAATTCATATTTTCTCATAGTGAAATTCTTCTATCATTGCCCGTGGTTTTTACCCTATATTATTTAGGGGTTTTTCACGTAAATTTTGTGTCTCTTTTATCTTTATTTTTATTTTCTCAAATTATCAGTTGTGATTTTGCTTTATTTGATAGCCATCTTTCGCAACATACACTTGGTAGGCAGTCTGTCCAACACCGCCATCCAAGCTATGAACGAGTTCTTTGGAATGTGGTCGGAATGCTATACAAGCCTTCCCAAGGGACTTTGTCATTCCTTAATCTAACCTCTCCCAAAATCTGCGCAACTGAAACAAAGGAGGGACCTAACAACCCCTGAATGGAAGCAATCTTGTCCCTATAGTTCAACAACCTCCTCCAAGTCCAGCTACACCCTTGAGTCCCTCCAACCTGCCAAAAGGACTCACTCTTAAGCACATACGAATAAACCCAAGCTATCCAAATCGACCCATCCTTCAAAAACACCTTCCTAATCAACCAAATAAAGCAAACTTGGTTCCAACTAGCAAGACCCTTAAGACCCAGGCCTCCCTCCAACTTCGGGATGCAGATAACACTTCAGCCCACCCAAGCTCCCTTAGCAGGTTTGTCCTTACCTTTTCAAAAGAAACGAACACACAATTGGTTAATCTGTTTGATGACAGTCCCCGACAAACACAATTGTCGAGACCAAAAATTTTGAATACTGTAAAGAACAGACTGTATAAGCTGCAGCCTCCCAACATATGATAACTGCTTGGACTTCCAGCTTTGAAGTTTGGCTGAAATTTTGTTAATGAGGGGAGCATAATCACGAACGGACAATCTCCTAATAATGAGAGGAATACCTAGGTACTTAATCGGGAGACTACCTTGCCGAATACCCGTGGCCTCATGGACCAGCTGTAAAGTACCATTATCAACCCCAAATAAAAAGATTTCAAACTTGGTAGAATTCATTTGCAACCTGGAGAAGTAGTGAAACGTCTCTATAACTCTCCAAACACCCATAATGGAATCATAAATACCCTTGGTAAACACCAGCAGATCATCCGCAAAACAAAGGTTAGTAAGCCTAACCCTGTGACGTTTCGGGTGGAAACTAAACAGCTCAAACTCAAACGCTTTATCTAAGAGCTTCGATAACACATTCATAGAGAGGACAAAAAGGTAGAGAGATGAAAAAACGAGGCGTAGTGACACACTCTTTAATCCAATCAACAAAAATCAGAGGCAACCCCAACGCAACCAGAATAACAATAAGAAACTCCCAATCAATAGAATAAAAAGTTTTGTGCAAGTCAATCTTAATGGCACAACGAGGTGAAAGAGAGGACCTATAATAGCCCCTAACAAGTTCCTAAGCCATGAGCGTATTATCAATAATAGATCTTCCAGGAATGAAAACGCTTTGACTGCTAAAAACAATCTCCGAAAGGTCCGACTTAAGCCTTTTAACGATAATGCGAGTAATACACCAGCGTGCAACAAGAAATTGGCCAACAATCACGCATACTATTAGGATTCATAACCTTTGGGACAAACACCAAGGTAGTAGCATTAAAAGCTGGAAACATTTTTGAAAAGTCAAAAAACCATGTGACAGCCCGGATAAGATCCTCACCCACAATGTTCCAAGTAGATTTGAAAAAATGGGAGGCATATCCATCAGGCCCGAGAGCCTTATCAGACCCGAGAGCCTTATCAGACCCTTGCTTAATCTCTTCCCTCGAAACTCGTCTTTGCAAAGCCAACTTATCCTCCTCAGAAAAGGTAAACCTAAGAAGCTCTTTAAGGAAATCCACAGAACACCCAGAAATAGAAGTACCCCTAACCCCATGAAGCTCCCCCATGAAACTGAATGACCTTAGGTCATCTCCAGCCTTTATCTCTACTCTAGAGCATCTCTATCTCTACTCTAGAGATGAAACAGTAATTCATCTCCAGCGCTATCTCTACATTACCATCAACTTTACTTTATTCATAATATTTAACTATTATAATATTAATTTTACAAATATAAAAAAAATCAGAAAAAATACAAAAAAAAATCAAAAAAATAGTATGATTATTTATCTAATTTCAATGTATTTTTATATATATTATAATTTAATATATTTTAATTAAAAAATGTATCGTTAGCTACAGTACCACACTAGATGTAACACGATACTATAGCAATTTGTCACTGTAGCGACAGATGTGACGCAAGGTTGTAGTGCGTTACAGTAGAAATATCTCTACTGTAGCGCAACGTTGGAGATGCTCTTAGATGCAATAAGATTATAATCCTCCAACAACCTCCCATGATCATCAGTGATAGCCCGGATAGAGCGCTTGTTCTGTCTAATAGAAACCATGGAGTGAAAGAATTTCGTATTCTGATTCCCCTTTTGAATCCAAAGAGCTCTAGACTTCTGCCGAAAGAAACTTTCCTCCGCAGACTCCAAGTCCCGCAATTCAACAACCAAAACTTTCTCCTTCTCAAGCAGGTCACAATTAGGCACTCCAGCTAAAACTTCCAATTGCACCTTATCTAGCTCAACACGTTTTGCCTTAACACGAGCACTCAGACTGCCATACCTACTATTGTTAAGTTTCTTCAAAGCAGGCTTGAGGCGCTTAAGCTTCAAGAACAAGCTTTCCATAAGATTACGGGCAGAGACATTCTCACCCCAACTGCTAGTTGCAATATTAAGAAAAACAGAGTCTTTGGTCCAGAAATTGAAGAATTATAATGGTTTAGGAACCGACTGAAAATCATTCCCAAGAACCACAAAACCCGGGCAGTGATCAGAAAGAACAGGAACCAAAAACTCAATCCGAGTCATGGAGAAAGCAGACATCCAAGAAGCAAAGGCTGAAACTAAGGTAAAAGGGTTAATAGTAAAAGGATTGTACAAGGGTTCAATGTCAATATTAATTCTCAAGACCTTAGAAAATAAATTTATTTTTCAACTAGTAAAATTAACGATATATTAATAAAACGATCAAAATAGAATAATACTAATAATTTAAATATTGATATAAAATATTTTAAAATTTTAATGATTAATATAAAATCAAAAATATAATTTAAAAATAATATGAAATATTTTAAAATTTAAAGATTAACTTAAAATAAAATTATAATTTAAAGACATCTTGTGCAATTATCTCGTAATAAAATATGATCAATGAAGTTTGGTGTTAAAACTGTCACTTATTTATTAGTTATGCTACCAACCAAATTAGTGAAACTAACAAAAATATTAAATAGAACGTTTATAATAATTTTTTTAATAATTTTTTTATTTTTTAATAATTTTAACAAAATAATTATTTATAATAAAAAACTATTTAACTTGATTTGAACATTATTTAAGTTAAAGTGAAATTAAATATAGAAAATTGTGAATTTCTATGCAAAACAAGGAAATTTTTTAATTTTATTGTTAATAAAAATGTTTTTTTGTTATAATTTTCGTACGGAGAAGAAAAGTTTGACTAAGATTTTAGTATTTACAGTTCACTGTACTTTATACTCTTTTTACAAGTTTCTCGGTCACCAAACAGAGAAAAGAAAAGAAAAAAATACTGCAAAGCTAGCGAAGGAAATAAAGAACGAAAATAATGAAGTAATTATTATGAAATTCCGATAAAAAAAAATTTGTGGGTATTTTGCAATTTGCATTATCCTCTCTCTGTTTTTCTCTTTAACCTTTTTCTTCTTTTTCGTCTCTTATATCTTTATTCTCTGCTCTAGAACTCCTAATCAGATCAAATATTACATTTTCCCCCAACACTTTTCCAGATTTTCTCTCTTTCCAAACACCTCTTTGCCTTCACGTCTCACCTCATTGCAAGCTGATTCCTTTTCCTCTCCTTTTCTCTTTAGCTACTTTCACTACGCAAAGCTAAAAATCTTCTCCATCTTTGATTTAGATTACTATTATTGAAGCTTCAAAAGAGGTGTATAAGTGAAAATTCCTTCGATGGTAGAATCCCAGTTATTGGGAGATTGAATGGGATTTAGAGGGTCGAAGTTAATGTTCAGCTATGGGGTGGAGGGAAAAGTAAAGGGTATTTTTGGATGAAAGGATTTGGCTTTGGAAATGGATGAATTTGTTCTTAACATTTGTTAAACTGGGTTTTTGATTTTCTTTTTGGATCCCTTGTTTTTTGTGGGGATTTAGGGGTTTTTGGCCTTTTGGTTTATTAAAGTGTAGTTTTGCTTATGTCAAGAACCGATAGGATGGCTTCCGATCTTATTAGCAGAACTGGCCCTGTGGAAAGAGACATTGGACAGGTACTTTACTTGTTTTAGCTAAATTTCTTTGTACTTGGTTGATTGAATTTGTTGAGTTCCCCCCCCCCCTCTAATTATTGTTTGAAATTGCTGATTCCATGTCTTTTATATGGAGCTGGTAGACCTGATAGTGTTCATATATTTTTCTATATTTTCTTGTTTTACAATTTAAATTTATATAAATTTTGACATGTTTGCCGGTCAAGATTATGCTTAGTTTTAGGAGCTAGTAGAAACAATGGGGTCATGCTATTTTTGTAGGTTGAGAATGATGAAGTCTGGTCAGCTTATAACTAGAAACTTTTAAGACTTTGAGATGTGAGTAAATAGGGGAAACAAGCTGATCTTAATATTTGATTCAATGATCTTAGAATTTTCCATTTGAGTCACTAAGTAGCTAAATCCGCTCTTGTGACAAATCAATGGAACTACCAATATGCTCTAGGACTGCACTTAAGTCTACTACATAGATATGAAGTTCAAGAAATTATGCCTCTTCTGGGCTAATTAGTGTTTTCTGTTTCAACCTAGATAAAAGGGTTAATGTTTTAATGATGCTATACTGGACATTTATTGTCACACTAAGTTGCATGTAACATATGCAAGCAATGGTTGACCTGCCTTTTTTTTACAAGTCCATGATATTTACAATCCCGCGTGCCACACATGTTATGGCAGGTGAAAAAGTTTGCGGACCGGAACTAATTTTTTATACTATGAGTTGTTCTAATACTGAACAATAGATTAAAAAAAGTTTATTGTCCCATGTTCTATTGCACATCTATGTCCATAAACATTGCTTTGTTTCTGGATCATTGAACTTGAAGTTCCCGATCTAAGCTCTGTCAAGTGTAGGCTGGAGGTAACTTGTAAATGCATACATGCCTTGTCTAATATAAGTTGGAATGTAGATTACTTAGATTCTGAGTGCAATTATAGTGGTGCTTAAGTCAACGTGGAAATAGATTGCTAGAATTGCTCATGCCATTTCTCTTTGATTTGTCAGTTGGTCCTATTATGTACTGATTGTTTTTAGTATATTATCACAGCATTTTCCTTTTCTGAAATTTCTTTCCATAGTTCTTTTTGCCCTAATTTTAGAAAGTATTTTTCTGAATAATTTGGCGGTCCCTTGGATAATTTCCTTACTTTATAACTGTGCTGCATTTAAATTGATATTGGAGCTACAATTATGTTTCCCTCCTGCAAATGTCGTTAAATATGCCTAAGGCTATTGTGATACTCTTTGCAACAGGCAATTACTGCTTTGAAGAAAGGGGCTTGCCTGCTGAAGTATGGAAGAAGAGGGAAGCCAAAATTTTGCCCCTTCCGCCTTTCAAATGTAAGTTTTTTTTTTTTTAGTTGAACTTTTTTTTCTGTTTTTTTCTGTTAGATCGTGTATCTGTTTTATTTTTTCATTGTTGATTAGCCTCTATTGAAAGTGTAACGATTTGCACGACGTTCAATTCAAGAACAAGTGAATAACATGTGTCAAGGAGTTTTTACTTTTAGCCACTGTGAACAATAAATTATGGAATCACTAATATATAGAGGAAATGAGGTTCAAAGCTGCTGATGTAAGACTTATTCATGGTGCCAACATGAGAAGTCCAAACTATTTAATAGAAATGAGCTTTATTCTGCACAGGAACCCTTCGCTTTGTTTACTGTTTGGAACCATTTGGTTCTATTCCTCTGTCTTTAACACTGTGGCTCAGATACCTGTATTGGATAGAAAAATCAGGTTCAAAACTGTGATGTGAAGACTATTCGTAATTCTAATTTCTAACTTGGGAAATACAAATTATATTTGTCTTCAAACATGTAACACTGCCCCTATGCCTTCCTCACTTATTGCTCAAATGGTTTTGGTGAGGGCCAGTTCACTTTCATCATAACTCATTATCACTTGTTCTTGACTTGTTATGTATTTGATAGTGGTTCCCGTGTTGGATGCTGGAAAACCATTTTGTGTAAGAGAAAAATTGAAGCCGGGGATGATATCATTTGCCTCTATATATACATCATTGATCATGCCTTGCCTTATAAAAGTTCTAAATTGTTGATTGTTATTCTTCTTTCAGGATGAGTCTGTTTTAATATGGTTCTCGGGGAAAGAGGAGAAACATCTTAAACTAAGTCACGTGTCTAGAATCATATCCGGCCAGCGCACTGTAAGTGGTTCTCTGTATAGATGGTGTATTATCTATGCCTATTTTGTTATGATTTTGACAATATTGAGTTATTACATGCCTGTAACGTATTATGTAAGCATAAAGTATGTTTCTTTCTGTAGAGATGGTGTATTGTCTTTGCCTACTGTGCTATTATTTTGACAATATTAGAGTTGATTACATGCCTGTAACATATGATGTGAACATATTGTTTTCTCAGATATTTTTATTCTTATCTGGTCTATGATACTACTATGTGATTCTTTAACTTTTCCTTGTTCACCCACTTTGGGTCAAGTTACAATCTATATTCAGAAAATTATTTTGTATTCTTTTGTGGTTGTCTAATCTCCGTCATTCAGTGTCTTGTATTGATGATACTGTGATGACTTTATATTTGAAAAATCTTTCATTTTCTTCAATTGCTTATAAAAATGGCTTATATGTTCTTCCAGCCTATCTTTCAAAGATATCCTCGGCCTGAGAAAGAGTATCAGTCATTTTCACTTGTATATAATAACAGATCGCTGGATTTGGTAAGCATTTGCTTTTTTGTAAACCGTGGCTTCTTGTTAATCTGGTTATTGTTGTATGCTTCTTCTCGTGTGGCATATACAGTTTGGTTAAAGTGTTTTTATTTCTTAATAAAATTATTCTAGATATGCAAGGACAAGGATGAAGCTGAAGTCTGGTTTAGTGGTTTAAAAGCATTAATCTCCCGTAGCCACCAAAGAAAATGGAGAACTGAATCAAGAAGTGATGGCATTCCTTCTGAAGCAAATAGTCCTAAAACATACACACAAAGTTCGCCTTTACATTCCCCATTCGGTAGTAATGATAGCTTGCAGAAGGTATAATCCTATTTTATCTACAAAATCTACTTTCAACACTACAAGATTGTGAATTTGAGAAGTTTTTTCTTACTTAAAATTCAGGATGGTGATCACCTTCGCCTTCATAGTCCATATGATAGTCCTCCAAAGAATGCTTTGGGTAAGGCATTTTCAGATGTAATATTATATGCTGTTCCTCCCAAGGGTTACTTTCCTCCAGATTCCGCTAGTGGTTCAGTTCATTCTTTGTCTTCAGGAGGATCAGATAGTGTACATGGCCACATGAAGACAATGGCAATGGATGTTTTTAGGGTTAGTCTTTCAAGTGCAGTTAGTTCATCAAGCCAAGGGTCTGGTCACGATGATGGTGATGCCTTGGGTGATGTTTTTATTTGGGGTGAAGGCACTGGGGATGGGGTTTTGGGTGGTGGATTTAATAAAGTCAGTAGTTGTGGTATCAAAATGGATTCTTTACTGCCTAAAGCTTTGGAATCTGCTGTTGTACTTGATGTCCAGAATATAGCCTGTGGCGGTCGACATGCTGCCTTGGTAACCAAGCAGGGGGAGGTTTTCTCCTGGGGAGAGGAATCTGGAGGCCGGCTCGGGCATGGTGTAGACTCTGACGTTTTGCATCCAAAGCTTATTGATGCCCTTAGTAATACCAACATTGAGCTTGTAGCATGCGGCGAGTACCATACTTGTGCTGTAACACTTTCTGGTGATTTGTACACATGGGGTGATGGCACTTATAATTTCGGTCTTCTTGGTCACGGAAATGAAGTAAGTCATTGGGTTCCAAAACGAGTGAATGAGCCCTTGGAGGGCATACACGTCTCGTCAATATCTTGTGGTCCCTGGCATACAGCTGTAGTTACCTCTGCGGGTCAATTGTTTACCTTTGGTGATGGCACATTCGGTGTTTTGGGTCATGGAGATCGGAATAGTGTCTCATTGCCAAGGGAAGTCGAATCCCTAAAGGGGCTCCGCACTGTTCGAGCAGCTTGTGGAGTGTGGCATAGTGCTGCAGTTGTTGAAGTCATGGTTGGGAATTCAAGTTCTAGCAACTGTTCCTCAGGGAAACTATTTACGTGGGGAGATGGGGATAAAGGTCGACTTGGGCATGGGGATAAGGAAACAAAACTTGTTCCTACTTGTGTTGCTGCTCTTGTTGAGCCAAACTTTTGCCAAGTTGCCTGCGGACACAGTATGACAGTTACCCTTACAACATTGGGGCATGTCTACACCATGGGAAGTCCCGTTTACGGCCAGCTAGGAAATCCACAAGCCGATGGGAAGGTTCCTACCCGTGTTGAAGGAAAGCTTTCCAAGAGTTTTGTTGAGGAGATTTCTTGTGGTGCTTATCATGTTGCAGTTTTGACTTCCAGAACTGAAGTCTATACCTGGGGAAAGGGAGCAAATGGTCGATTAGGTCATGGGAATACTGAAGATAAGAATACCCCAACATTGGTAGAAGCTCTGAAAGACAAGCAAGTCAAAAGTATTGCATGTGGCACAAACTTCACTGCAGCAATCTGTCTCCACAAATGGGTTTCGGGTGTAGATCAGTCAATGTGTTCTGGTTGTCGCCTCCCATTTAATTTCAAAAGAAAACGTCACAATTGTTATAATTGTGGACTAGTCTTTTGTCACGCGTGCAGCAGTAAGAAGTGCCTTAAGGCTTCCATGGCTCCAAATCCCAACAAGCCTTATCGTGTCTGTGACAATTGTTTTAATCGGCTGAAGAAAGACATTGAAACTGATGCATCATCTCAATCTTCTATAAGTAGAAGAGGAAGCATAAATCGCGGGACTGGTGAATTTGTTGATAAAGATGACAAGTTGGATTCCAGATCTCATGCTCAACTTGCTAGATTTTCACCAATGGGGTCGTTGAAGCAAGGGGAAAGCCGATCAAAGGAAAACAAGAAGCTAGAATTTAATAGTAGTCGTGTCTCACCAGTCCCAAATGGAGGCTTCCATAGGGGAACCCTTAATATTTCTAAATCTTTTAATCCTGTATTTGGATCATCTAAGAAATGTTTCTCAGCTTCTGTTCCTGGATCAAGAGTCGTTTCTCGTGCAACGTCACCGATATCAAAACAGCCTAGCCCTGCTCGTTCAACAACACCGATCCCAACAGTCGGAGGCCTCACCTCCCCTAAAATAGTTTTGGATGATGTTAAGAAGACCAATGATGGCCTTAGTCAAGAGGTTATCAGATTTAGAACACAGGTATTTTGTTTTCCGTACTTCTCAGTACTCGTGTGGGGATTTATATATTTGTTTGTTTGTTTAACAAGGTTCTGTTTGCTCCAGACAAGCTAAATGTGAAGCTTTAATTTAAGCATGACATATTACAATTTATAAGATTTACTCTTCTTTTCTTTGTCGAGCAAGGGTCTTCACTTGTTTGTGAGGTTATTTAGTATTTATTCGTTCCACCTCACCAATCTTTATCTCTCAGGTGGAGAATCTTACACGTAAAGCACAGCTTCAAGAAGTTGATCTGGAAAGAACAACGAAACAGCTGAAGGAGGCAATTGCAATAGCAGAGGAGGAGACTGCAAAATGCAAAGCAGCAAAGGAAGTCATCAAGTCACTTACTGCACAAGTAAGATGGATTAATTTGTTGTTTTTGTCCATGGATATCTATTTTAATAAAGCTTTAGTCCACTATCTCTGCATTGCGACGTTTTTGAGTAATCATAGCTCTGAACTATACTTAGCTATGTTAGTTCCTTTTCCGGGTTTTCATAATTTGGTTTATCCGGCGCTCTTTGCTTACTGCTAGTCATGAACCGAGCATGTGAGGAGATCATGAGAATGCTCAAGTTTAGTTTTACTCCACGTTGTACTCGAGAATACTTTCGTCATGTTTTTCTGCTGATGTAAATGATATTTGATATGTTGAGCAGTTAAAGGATATGGCTGAAAGACTGCCTGTTGGGGCTGCTAGAAATATCAAATCGCCTTCACTTACTTCGTATGGCTCTAGCCCTCCTTCCAATGACGTCTCTAGTGTTTCCTTTCAAAGACTGAATGGTCAGATATCGTGCGGAGAACTGGATTCAAACATACGAAGCAGCCAGTTGCTTTCTAATGGGTCCAGCACTGCTGGTAACCATAGTTCATGCCATAACAAACAAGGCCAGATTGAACCAGCTACCAAAAGTGGAAGCAGAACAAAAGAAAGCGAACCTCGAAACGAGACTGAATGGGTTGAGCAAGACGAACCCGGTGTGTATATAACACTTACCTCACTACCAGGTGGTGCCAAGGATCTCAAGCGAGTTCGATTCAGGTATGTTATGCATTACTCTCTGGCAAATTCTAATTGTAGACAAGCTACTCCCGAATTTGACTCGTGAACTCAGTCATGGTTACGTAGAATAGAAATTAAATGGTTCTAGAAAACTTTGATTGCAGTCGAAAGCGATTCAGCGAGAAACAAGCAGAACAATGGTGGGCAGAGAACAGAGCAAGAGTATACGAACAATACAATGTCCGCAAGATCGACAAGTCTAGTGTTGGTATCGGGAGCGTGGACTTGGCCCATTAACACAATGAAGTAACTATTTGATGTACATGCAATATAGTCTTTCCGAGATTCCGATCCCTACATCGGGAGCTTGATTGATCAAATCGTACCATTGTTGATCAAGAGTGGTATAAGGGAAGATCGATTTGATAGGGATTTTCATTTATTTTTGCATTTTTTGGCCCCCACTTGATTTTACTTCACTCTTGCTACATTTTTTTAATGTGTGGGAGGGGGTTGAGGGTGAAAAAATGTATATTTTTATCAGGTTGCTGGCTCTTGTTGAAAGAAGTTGCCTTGTAAATTCATAAGCAAAGTTATATTTGCAGGAAAAGAATTTTACATTTTTTACCCATGTGTATAGAATTTCAGTTGTGATGATGGCATGTGATTTTTTGGGCAAAAATGATTTAAAAAAAGACAAACTTAGGGAAAACACTAAAGGCTAGTAATGTTTGAGGTTTATCCATGGCTTACTTCAATTTGGTAAACTCCTTGGACGCCATGGGATTGATTATATAGGAGAAGATGAGGTTTTAACATGTGAAATCTTCTTATATCCATTTTCAAATGGACACCATGAAACTTTTATCCCTTCTTAAAACCTGCATTAGTTCAAGGGCATTGACAAAGGGTAAGCTCATTCACCAGAAAATCATCGTATCAGGCTTCCACAACAACCTGGCCATATGCAAAACCCTCATCGATTTTTACTTCTCTTGCCGTTTACATCGCTCGGCTCGTCGTGTTTTTGACACCATCGACAACCCATTAGACATTTCTTTATGGAATTCCCTCATGGCTGCGTACACTAAGAGCTTCATGTTCGTCGAGGCTCTCGAGCTCTTTGATAAGTTATGGAAACACCCTTTTCTGAAACCCAACGGTTTCACGTACCCGAGTTTGCTTAAGGCTTGTGGTGGATTGGAGACCGTTGGGTATGGTGAAATGATCCATACCCATTTGATAAAATTTGGGTTTTTATCTGATGTTGTTGTTGGAAGCTCTCTTGTCAGCATGTATGCCAAGTGCAATATGTTTGAGGATGTTGCCAAGGTGTTTGATGAAATGCCTGAGAGAGACGTTGCCTGTTGGAACACTGTTATTTCTTGTTATTATCAAGATGGGAAAACGGAAAAGGCATTGGAATTGTTTCAGGAAATGAGGGAGGCCGGATTTGAGCCTAATTTGGTGACGCTTACTATTATTATCTCATCGTGTGGGAGGCTTATGGATTTGGAAAGAGGGAAGGAGTTTCATCGGGAATTGGTCGAAAAGGGGCTTGTTTTGGATGGTTTTCTTGGCTCTGCTCTTGTTGGAATGTATGGGAAATGTGGTTGTATAGAGATGGCTAGGGTGGTTTTTGAGCAAATACGAGAAAAGCGTGTGGTCACTTGGAATACCATGATCTCGGGTTATAGTTCAATAGGTGATAGCCAGTCATGCATTGAACTCTTTAAGAAGATGAATATGGAAGGCATTGAACCCTCTTTGACTACTTTAAGCTGCATAATAATGGCTTGTTCCAGATCAGCCCAACTTCGGTCTGGAAAATTTATACATGGTTATATGATAAGAAGCATGATAGAAACTGATATCTTTGTTAGCAATTCCCTAATTGATCTATACTTCAAATGCGGAAATATATATTCAGCTGAAAATATCTTTAAGTTGATGCCAAAGACAGATGTAGTCACTTGGAATGTCATGATTTCTGGATATGTCTCCATCGGAAAATGTTTCGAAGCTCTTGGCATCTACACTAGCATGGTAAAAGCCAGTGTACATCCGGATGCAGTAACATTTACTAGTGTCTTAGCAGCTTGTACACAATTGGCAGCCTTAGTAAAAGGGAAGGAGATCCGTAATTCAATAATTGAGAACAAGTTAGAAAGAAATGTAGTAGTTATGGGAACACTCCTAGACATGTATGCAAAATGCGGTGCCGTAGACGAAGCGTATAAAATTTTCTGTGATTTACCGGAGAGGGATCTTGTGTCTTGGACTTCTATGATCACTGCTTATGGATCCCACGGCCAAGCTCAAGAGGCTTTGAATCTTTTCGATAAAATGTTGCAATCCAATGCAAAACCAGATGGAGTTGCTTTTCTTGCAGTTTTATCTGCTTGTAGCCATGGAGGCTTGGTTGATGAAGGTTGTCATTATTTCAATCAAATGACCAGTGAGCATAGTATTAAACCTCAACGTGAACACTATTCATGCTTGATCGATCTTCTAGGACGTGCTGGCCGATTACATGAAGCATACAAGATTCTCCGAAGTACCCCGGAAACTAGAGAGGACGTTGAGTTGCTAAGCACACTATTGTCGGCATGCTGTTTGCATCGGTGTTTAGAGCTGGGGGAGAAAATTGCAGAAATGCTAATCGAGAAAGACCCGAATGATTCATCAACCTATATCATTTTGTCAAATATGTATGCTTCAGCCAAGAAATGGAGCAAAGTACGCGAAGTGAGATTAAAGATGAAAGAGCTGGGACTGAAAAAGAACCCCGGTTGCAGTTGGATCGAGGTCGACCGGAGGATCCGACCGTTTTTCGTAGAAGATAACTCACACCCGGAAGCAAAGATCATGCATGAATGTCTATCTAGTCTTAACAGATACATGGAAAAGGATGTCATGATGGAAGCTCTCGAATCAGGCATAGACTAAGGTGTTATTTGATAAAACAGAAAATCGAGCATCTGGAAATCAAGCAAAATCACAAGGGAACAATTGCCATTTACCCATCATATTGAGTTGTTCAATGAGGTAAAACTTCAGCACCATCAAGCAGAAAGTGATGTGAGAAGCTGTGAACATGCCTCGTTATGTGTAGAGTCGACTCATTGCTGTAATCTTACGTTACTCGGAGTCGTGTAAGTCTCACATCCCAATATCTTCATACTTGCGTCCAAACATATATTTTGTGTTCCCTATATTTACTCATGATAATTTTAATTTTTTAATATAATATAAATGTTTAATTATTTTCAATTTCCTTGTGTCATAATTCAAATAATTTAATTTTAAATTTAGAGTAAATCACGTCAAATGTTATTAAATTATAGAATTTTAATGAATTTGATACTAAACTTTAAATTAATTAGATTATAACATTAAGCTTTAGTTTTGATTCCAACACTAGATCATTAATAAGTTAATCTATTAACAATGGGGTGATGTGAAAATAAAAATATCATTATTTTATTCGACTTCGTCACCATCTTCATCAAAATAAAAATTTCATATATTTTTAGCAATCATTAGAAATCATCATTTTCTGACATCTTCTGAAGTCACCGTTTTTATCATTTTATTGGTTTAAATATTTTAAAGTTTTTTTTAAAACACGAAAATAAACACAAAAAATCTATCATTTTTAGGGCTCAAGGGTATTCTTGAATTTGATAGCTTTGATATGTTTGTTTAGAATTTCGAAAGGTAAAAAATATTCTTTTGACAAAATGAATAATGTACCTCAAAACTAATTTTATAGGATGATCTTTATAGGAGATCGAAATATGTACATCGAACCTTTTTAATGAGTTTGCATTTATTTTGAATAGGTTTTGTGAAAAACCAATCATGAAAGAAGAAAGATTAGTGAAATATGAACATTTTAGTATCGATATTGTTATGACAAGTGTTAAGTGGCAGGAGATTATTAACCGACGATAGCGACTTGAAAATTCAATGCTAAAATAATTAAATAATTTATCCTTAAACTTATCTTAATATTTAATTTAATATTATTAATTTTTAAAAGTATTATTAAATTTATCAAATTTTATATTTATTATAATATTAAAAACTATTTAATAATAATTTAATACTATTTAATAATTTTTAAAATTCAAGTCATAAAAATCATTTTGAGTATAATATAATAAACTATTTTATACTTTACCCACATGTTCAGTTAAAAATTCAGGGATTGTCTCATAAAATGCAGGTTAATATACGGTTAATATACGGCGTTACCGGATACATTAAAAGATATTTAACAAATTCGGTTTAGCGCTACCGGAAATGTTGACTAATAATAATGTAGTAGGTCTAAGTCATGAAGAAATATTAAAAAATTGTGCAACCGACAAACTTAACTTGTCGGTTCGTGTCGATCCAAATTAAAAATGTGTCGATCCAAAACGATATAACAGGTAAAACTATGACAAAACCGGTATTGACATGATAAAACCGGTAAAGCGCTACCGGATACATTTAAAGTGTCGGTACTTTAATATAAGGATCGACACTTCGTGAATTTAAAAGAGAAGCAGTTTTAAATCCTATAAAATGTCGATACTTTTAAAAAATGTATCGATCCAAAACGATATACTAGGTAAAAATATGATAAAACCGGTATCAAAATGATAAAACCGGTAAAACGTTACCGGATATATTGAAAGTGTCGGTACTTTATATAAGGATCGACACTTTGTGAATTTAAAAGAGAAGCAGTTTTAGCGCCTATAATGTGTCGATACTTTAAAAAAAATATATCGATCCACAACGATATAACAGGTAAAAATATGATAAAACCGGTAACAAAATGATAAAACCGGTAAAACGATACCGGATATATTGAAAGTGTCGATACTTTCGTAAGTACGTGTAATAAATTATCGACACTTTCAAAGAAATAGGTAATTATCCTTTCGAAAGTATCGACACCTGACATAAAAGTATCGACACTTTTGTATTTGTATCGATTAAATATAAATAACATATCCGATGAAAATATAAAGGCCATATCTAAATATCATCTGAAAATCGATAGAACGGACGAGTTTTTGAAATCGAAGCGTAATTGTTGCTGCATTTCAGAAGGCGTTTCTAAAGCGATGTTTGTTTATTTGTTGATGCAGTCGAATCGAAAAGTATGTTGTCGAAACCCTAGTTTTTTATTATTACAGTAATCGCGAATAGGATTTTTATGTGTTGTTTGGGGTTTTGAAGTAAAGAAGCATTTGAGACCGATTGCAGGTAGAAAGTGATATTGAAGGTAAAATATAAATGTCGATACTTTTATTAAATATTATAGGTAGAAAATGATATTATAGATTGTATAAATGTGCCGACACATTTTGTAGTGGCCATTCAAATTCTTTTGAAGAAAACCGTTTTACCACAAGAGTAGTTATCTATATTTGTATATTGAATAAAGTGTATGTAACAAAATAATTTGATTTGCGTAAACTGATATATGAAGGAAAAATGGAGTCAATAGGTTGGAAAATTGTTGGTGGAGCAGATGACTTTGAAATTGAGGCCGAGACTCGAAAGCAACCAAAGGGTGGATATATGTACTTCTAGTAAGTATCAATGTCTTTTTGTTATTATTGTTGAAATGGTAATTGGATTAAAGTATCGATAAACTTTAAATTGATTACAAATTTTAAATGTTGACAGTATGTCCGAATGCAAAAGGATGAAGGAAGATGGCACACAGAGTGGTTCGGTATGTAAAATGAAATTGACATTGAATAGTATTTAGTGTTAATGTATTGATTAAGAAACGTTTATGTTTAATATTAGGTGACAAAAGATGTGAGGTCCAAATGGAATTCAATGAGTGATGCTGAAAAGCAACCTTACATCACACAGTCAAGGAATGATAGTAAAGAATACAAAGAACGGAGGAAAGCACATGAAAATAAGGTATTCATTAAACTTGTAAATACGTTGATACAAAATATATAAGAACTATAACATTATATATTGTTAAAAAATATAGGAAGTGTCGACAAGATGCAACATTAAAAGGGTGAATTCATTAATTAAACACCTTAAGTAGAAGGGTCAGTTGAATGTGCTGGGAGAAATAGGTTTTGGATCGTTGGTAGGAGTAAGGGATCGACCTATTCGGAGGGAATTGTGTCGATCCTTGATGGCGCAATTTGATGTCAGACAATGTATTATTAAGTATGGTGATTTTTCATTTTCTCTCGGGATCCCATGTGCTGCACCCGTATTGGGGGTAGAAAATGAAGGCAAAAGTGTTGTAGAAGTCTGTAAGAGTAAGGACTGGAAAGCACTTGCCTCCAAATATAGTTTGAAGCAGAAGGTGACATATGCTGAAATTGAAGAGGAAATAAAAATTGGATCTTACGTTGGGGATGAGCTGAAGGCCAGAGTTCTATTATACCTTGTCGGTATCTTTCTTTGTCCAACGGGTCATACGTCAACGAACAAGGAACATATGAAGCTCATTTGCGATGAAGGCTTGAAGGGTGAATTCAATTGGGCTGAATATATCCATTCGAGATTGATTGAATCAATAATCACATTTAAAAAGGGCAGCTAGAGATACCTCAAAGGGTGCATAGCAATCTTATAGGTAAATGAGTTGAAGAACTTTTTTGTGTTTTTATATAAAAATATAAATTTTATTATAAATGCAGGTTGCACTATTCGATTTTTGGTCGGGCTGTGAGGCAGTGCCGACTTATGAAAGAACCGGAATGGCACGCATCCGTGTATGGGGGAAGAAAGAGGTGGTTAGAGTGATGGTGAAGTTGAAGTTGGATAGAGCGAAGAAGCAAGAAAGGGTAATAAATGTAATTAAATAATATTAAGAATATAATCAATGTCTTAATATTGTAATTTAATTTTGAAGGTTATTGGCAAGGATGTAGAGGAGGCAGAGGAGAAGAAAGGAGAGATGGTTGTATTGGGGGATGACGATGAGTGGGACGACGGTGAGGGAAAACATAGTAACTTTGACATTTTGATGTCTGAATTGGCTGATATCAAAAAATCCAATTTGATATCATGCAAAGACAATCAAGAGTCGAAGAGAAACTTGATAGAGTCGAAGAGAAACTTGAGAGAGTCAAAGATACACTTGAGAGGCATAAGGGGGTAGTGGAAGGAAAAATAGATGGAGTGGTGAAAGAAGTAGAGGTGTTGAGGGGTGAAGTGGTGAAAGAAGTTGGGGTGTTAAGGGGTGATATTAAGATGGTGACGGGTGAAAAATTTGAGGGAGTGGTGAAGGAGGTTGTGGAATTGAGGAGTGAACTTACGGGGGTGAAGGGGGTGGTTGATAAATACTTGGATGAAGGAGATCAATTGAAGGGTAAAATAAAATAGATGAAGAGCTATGTAGAAAAAAAATACGATGAACTGAAAAAATATGAAGAAGAAAAGAGGGAGGAGGAAGAAGAAGAGATGGAAGAAATGAGGAGGAAGGAAGTCGATGTCATTTATACACCGGAGAGTGTTATAGCAGCAGATTTGGATTCGGAATGTCCTGCACCCCATAAGAAGAAGCAGAAGGTAAGTTGAATAAAAGAAAACTTAATTTGATTTTTATTATGTTGTTGTGACAAAAAATTGTATGCAAAATTGTAGGTTGAAAAAGCGGATATTCCAAGCGGAATTGATGACATCGAAGCTGCAATTTGTGATTATTTATGGAATAGTGAGTTAGAATCGGAGTAAGTGAAATATATTGCTTTGTGAGTTATATTTAAATATTTCATGACAGCATATTAATCCTAATGATTCATACAGATATTCTGTAATCTCAATGGGAAATCAATTCGCTAGTGTATACGACGTTGCAACGTTGAAGCCTACGGAATGGGTTGGCGGTGTGGTAAGTAGAAAGTAGAAAATGTTAAAACTTATTGAATATGTTCTGATTGTGTAATTAATTTTGTTAGGTTATTGATTTGCTCGCCTGGACAGTATGCTACGATTCTCAGAAGTCATTCCGGAGGTTTGGCTACCTTCCATACCACTTAGTGGTGAGTTAAATTAATAAATGGAGATAAGTAGTGTTATAGACGGTAAATTAATAATGTTTGTTGCGTAATTGCAGTAGCAGGCGT